CCCTAGCATCACGCCCCTCCCCTAGCATCACGCCCCTCCCCTAGCATCACGCCCCTCCCCTAACATCACGCCCCTCCCCTAGCATCACACTCCTCCCCTAGCATCACGCCCCTCCCCTAGCATCACACTCCTCCCCTAGCATCACGCCTCTCCCCTAGCATCACGCCCCTCCCCTAGCATCACGCCCCTCCCCTAACATCACGCCCCTCCCCTAACATCACGCCCCTCCCCTAGCATCACGCCCCCTCCCCTAGCATCACACCCCTCCCCTAACATCACGCCCCTCCCCTAGCATCACGCCCCTCCCCTAGCATCACGCCCCTCCCCTAACGTCAAGCCTCCCTTCTGCACTCCTGGTGCGGGTGCTGCCATGCTGCTTCCTGACTTGGGAAGTGGACCCCTTACTAAGCCTCTGTGCTTCAGTTTCCTCATTTGTTTTCCTTTTTGAGACGGGGATTTAATGTAGTCCGGTTAGCTTTGTACTTGCTGTACAGCTGAGGGTGCCCTTGAACTCCTGGTCCTCTGGCCACCACCTCCCAAGAGTGAGCAGCCCAGCGGTTTCCTTGTGTTTGAAGCTGGCGTCTACCTCACAGGGTGGTTGTGAAGTCAAGTGAGTTGGTATATAGAAAACCGTCAGGAAGGGTTAGCGGTGTGGCTGCTGCTGTTACACACACACACACACACACACACACACACACACACACACCCACACACCAACATGTAGCTGTGATGACAGGCATGCCGAGCTACACCCAGCTCTGACTACATTGTCTGGCCAGTGAGCTATGGAGAATAGCGGAGTCCTTCCAGAAACTTGGTCTGCAGAAATCAGTGCCATAAGATACAACACTGAGGTGTTAGAAAGAGCAACACAGACTCTTTTTGGGCTTCCCCGAGTCTTCCATTTTTGTTTGTAAATTAGTGTATGGAACTTCAGAATGGCATTTTCCCCACTGTCCATTTGGAGTACAATAAGACAAATTAATACAAATCAAAATAATATGGTAGCGGCATCACATAATTTGTGTATACTGGTGTAGTAACAGATTTAATTTAGTGCAGCTTTGGAGAAGTCTTTTGTATTTCAGTTTATACAGCTGCTATCCAGGGCTTGGCTGGCCGGTCTCAGCCTTGAGCGTCTTGCAGAGAGAATCTCTTCTCGTCTGCTGACTGGCTGAGCAAATGCCTCTTCCTTAGTTCACCTTTATTTTCTTTTTCAAAGAGAGGAAAATATGTACATACTCAGCAAAGATAACTGGTAAGTAATAATAAAATCAACCAAAGATGCTAAGCTTTCCAAAGCTGGGTGCCGAGCAACACAATACTTTGTCTCCGAGACCTTCCTGTGCACAACCTTTAGAAGGAAAATAGTTTACAAATGTAAATGGGGGAGGAAGACAGGAGTGGCTGCTGAATTTGGTGAGTCCTGGGGGCCTGTCAGAAGTCACCTCATCAAGACCTGTCATCACAGGCTGGAGTGAGTAGGAAGTGACCAGTGGCTGTGGCAGGAAGGGAGGAGGGAGGGCACATGTCCCACAACAATGGGGCTCAGGATGCTTTGTTGTTATTTTAATGTTTTAAAAATAGATGGGAGTTGAGGGATAGAGAGAGGACGTGCAGGAAGCCTGGCAGGGCGACACACGCTCAGAATCCCAGAAGAGAAGGCCGAGAGGAGGAGGGGGATTGTGGGTTGGAGGATGGTTTGGGCTACACAATGAGACCCTGTCTGAAACCACCAACCAAAAGAAAGAAAAAAGGAAAAACAGCCAGTAGGAAGTAAGACGGGAGGAGTGAGATAGTACAGTGGTTGTTAAGGAGAGCAACAAGCTATCCAGAAAGTTACAAAGACAGAAGAGTCAAAGTATCTAGTGGGGTGCCATGGTGCACACTTTTGATCGGCTCTAGGGAGTAGAGGCAGGTGGACTTCTGAGAGTTCAAGGCCACCCTGGTCTACATAGTAAGTTCCAGGCACATGTGTGGAGGTCAGAGGACAGCTTGTGGGTTCTCTCTCGCCTTCCACTATGCATTTTCTAGGGACCAAACCCACATCATCAGGATTGGTGGCAAGTACTTTTGCCGAGTGGTCCCTCTTGCTGGCCCAGCGTAAGGTTTTATGGTGATGGTCATATAGGTACCTGCTGCCTACCATGTACCAGAGTTTCTGATTGGATGAAGGAAAGTGAAATGACATTGTTTGTAGAGCATTGCTCTTTACCCTTTTGGCTGCAGTGGTTACCTCTCCCCGCTCTGTGTACCCCGCTTCCCCAGAGTAACTCAGCTATCATCATCAAGAGCCAGTCTTGTAAACAGGCGTTTCTATGGATAGCAGCCTTAGGCCTGCTGTGTTAACCTTTGCATGCAATCTGTACTTAATGTCATCCTAGGAGGTGGGGGAGTGGCGGGGGCTGCTGGGAAATGGGAGTTATATGGGTACAGGCGTGCTCCTCTCTTCCTACTTTTCTTTAATAAATTGAGAATTTTATTTATTTATTATTATGTGTGTGTGTGATGTGCATGTGTGGGCCTGTACATGCTGCAGCAGGTATGTGGAAGTCAGGGGACAACCCACCTTCTACCTTTATAAGTGTTCTAGGGACCAGGTCACCAGGCTTGCGAGGCAAGTGCCTTTACCCGCTAGGCCATCTTGCTAGGCCTGAATTGAATGGAAGATTTTTGTATATAAAAAAGTTGTCACTATGAAAATCACTCATTACACAGAATGCCAAAGCTTATAGCAGGTTGCTTTTGGTTTTGTTTCTGATCTCTTCAGCGCTTTCTGACACCAACCTCCTCTGCCCAGCCCACTGGAACAGACTGGATTTTATGGAACGTTGTGTTACTTGATTCTAGAATTGCAAAGAAAGCCAATTAAGGACATTGGATAGGCTGCGGTTTTGTCCGTTGCTACAAAAAGAGTGTTGTTGGGCTCACGTTTGATTGGTGGAAGGTATTCTTGGTGTGCGATGATGGTGGGGTGATCAGAGGCAGGGGGACAACTGCCACAGCCAAGCTGGAGATAAGAAGAGTCCCAGCCAGGTGGCATGGAGGAAGGAGAGGAGCGAACGGATGTAGAGTTGAGCACTGACAGGGAAGAGGTTGCAGGCAGAGGGAAAGAAAGTAGCATTGCTTGGGGTTTCCTAACCGGTTAACTCCGGAAAATTAAGAGAGTGAAAAGAGCATTTTTCTCTGAATTTGAGATTCTGAATATTTTTTTTTCCTGTTTTTTTGAGACAGGGTTTCTCTGTGTAGCTCTGGCTGTCCTGGAACTCTTTCTGTAGACCAGGCTGGCCTCAAACTCAGAGATTGCCTGCCTCTGCCTCCTGAGTGCTGGGACTAAAGGTGTGCGTCACCACCACCCCAGCTTCTAAAATCTTTCAATACCAGCTGCAAGTCCAGGAACCAACTCAATGCTAACACTGTGCACAGGGAATGAAGAGCAGATTCCCAGGTGAACGCTGAGCTCCACTAAGTGCTCCCCCTCAGGTGCCAGCTGCGAATGGGATGCCCTGGTTACCCACACCTCTGCCTGGCAGGCTATAGATTCCAGGACTTGTATAACCTTCCCCACTCAGCTTTGGTAATTATGGAGAAGAGCTCACCTAACTCAGGCTTGTGACTCATTTGTTATGAAGGTTCAACCCTAGGCAGTGAAAAGGGAGAGATCACGAGGCAGGCAAACCACCTTCTCGGTACAGAGCTCTGTTCAGTGACTTGGAAACTCTCAGCTCTCTGTGCTTAAGAGTACTTAGGAAGCTCAGCCCTGGTCCTCCTGCCCTCCCCAGAGTTCCGTGCATGGGGTTGAAAATCCAGGCTTCTGCTTGCTCCATCCTCTGGCTACCATCCCTGTCTTGAAGCTGTTCAAGTCAGAAGGGGGTCACTGTGATAACAGAAGACATACCACTCGGAGTTCTTTTGTAAAAGATGTTATTAAAAACAAGAAGATTAATTTGTTGTTTTTACTTGTGTGTGTGTGTGTGTGTGTGTGTGTGTGTGTGTGTATGCCTGCATTAGTTTATATGCACTATGTGTGTGCAGCGCCTGTAGAGACCAGAGGGTGTTGAATTCCCTGGAACTGGAGTAACAGGTCGTTGTGAGCTGCCTGCTCTGGGTGCTGGGAACTGACCCTCTGAAAGAACAGTTAATGCTCTTAACTGCTGAGCTACTTTAAAGACAGGGTATTGCTTTAAAGCTCTGGCTGGCCTGGAACTTGCTACGTAGACCAGGCTGGCATCAACTCACAGAGCTCTAATTATGTCTGCCTCTTGAGGTCTGAGATTAAAGGTGTGTACTACCATGCCTGACCCCTTTAAAAAAATTTTTTAAGATACCAAATGGGCTTTATTTTTTCCACTTTTATTTATTTATTTTTCTATTATCAGCTTGATACAGTATAAATTCTTATCCTAATTGTGAAATGTTCCATTGAGGTTTGCCCAGTAATTGAGTAAAACAAAAATTTATTATAAGCCATAGTCATCCCAGGGCTCTCCCCTGCTATATAGCCTCCCTGGTTCTGTGGGTAAAAAAAAAAAAATTTAAATTATGTGTATATGTGTATAACTGTGTATGAATTTGTCACTTGAGTGCAGTACCCTCCAGAGGCCAGAAGAGGGCATCATATATATATATATATATATATATATATATATATATATATATATATATTTTTTTTTTTTTTTTCTTTTTCTGGAGATGGAGTTATAGTTGTGAGGCACCCCCATATGGGTACTGGGAACTGAGTCTGCTCTGCACTCTTAACCACCAAGTCATCCCTCCAGCCCCTACTCAGGGAATTCTGAGGATTGGTTTTAGGAATGCTTGACATGAACCAGGGGCAAGGACCAAATAGCTTGTTGCCTCCCCACTTGGAAGATAAAGGCAGGAGGATCTGAAGCTCAGAGTCATCCCCAGCTATGTAGGGAGTAAACTGCTACCTGAGACCTGTCTACATGAATGCATGAGTGCATGAAGTCTAAACTCTTGTATGTTTTTGTTTATAGCCTACACAGTCCAGACCTCGGAAGGTGTGCGCCCGACGGCGGCTTCTGAGGCCCATTCCAAAGCTTTGGCTGTTTGCCGTGGACCTCTGGACCACTATGATTTTCTGATCAAAGCTCAGGAGCTGCGGGATGACGAGCACCAGAGGAGGGTTGTTCAGTGTTTGCAGAAGTTACTGGAGGACCTGAAAGGATACAGCATAGAGGAAGAAGGGTTCCTTTCAAAGGTGAGGGTCTCACATTTTCTAAAATGGATTCATCCCTGGGAGGACGGCCCTGAAGCTGCCTCCGCTTGGTGGATCCCCATTCCTGCCCTTTTTTTGATGTTCTCTTACCTTTCTGGATTTAAATAGCTTCATAGTTACTAAATAGGGTAGCCCTGGCTGACTGAAACTTCTATGAACCCCTCCATCTCACCCCACCCCCAACCCCCCGTCCCGGTCCTCAAGCCTCACCCTGGAAGGTGGCAGGAACGGCGTGTGACCACGTCTCCTCTCCTCCTTTGCTTTGCTATACTTCTGAGGGCCAGAAGCAGGATGAATGAGTGTGGTGGGCAGCAGTCTTAGGTCCCTTTAATGGTGGGTGCCGGCTGCTAGTGCTCTGATAAGGGACACCTTGGTGGGTTCCAAATGCCTCTCCTGGGGACTGTCGTGGTGTCCCATTCTTTGACTGTCTTCTTGTGACTGGGGACACCTCCCACCCCTACCTTTTGCTGAGACCTCCTTCCCTGCTCTCAGGCATTTTTCGTCCTTTCAGGATGCTCTCTCTGGACCCTTTTAGGGGTCCACTGAGGCCACGGGTGCGTAAGATTTTGTTTCTACACCTGCTATAGTGTGGGGTGCTTTAGTTACCCTGGGTTTCTTCTTCTCTTCTTCTTTTTCTTAAAAATCAAAACAAACAAACAAAAACATGTGCCTTTTGCCTGCGTGCTGTGTACCACATGCCTGTGGAGGCCAGGAGAGGGCATCCGATTCCCTGCCACTGGAGTTCCGGGTGGTTATGAGCAGCTGTGTGGTGCTGGGAACCGAACCTAGGTCCTCTCTAAGAGTGGCCAGTGCTCTTAACTGCTGAGCCACTTTCTAGTCCCTGGCCTGGACTTCTATGGGCAAGAAGAGGGCACCAGGTTGAGTTTGTCTTGTATTCCCTTATATTCCTGAGGATTAATGTCAGGTCACCCACAGGCTCTTGTGCACCTGCTGGGGTAGCTGCCTGTGGAATTCCTCCTTCTCCTGGAGAGGGTGACCTCCTCTTACACTCAGCCCTAACCTTCATGCTTCTCCTGGCCCCTCCCTTCATTCCTTGCCCAGGTAGCAGCTTTCTGCCTCCATCACTCTTTCTGGTTTTAAGACTGTTTTGCCTTTTTATTTCTTATTAATTGATTAATTAGTTAGTGGACAGGTTCTTGCTGTGTAGACCATGCTGGCTTCAAACTCGTACACCTTTTTTTTTTTTTTTTTTTTTTTTTTTTCCTTTTGGTGGTACGTGGAGATTAAACCCAGGACCTCACATGCTAGGTAGGCACTCTAACCACTGAGTGTGAGGCATGCACCACTGGGCCTATTTTCTTCTTCCAAAATTACCCCTGTGTGGATGTGAACTTCTCCTGAGGGTAGATGGAGCACTTACCTCTGCTGTGAGCTTTTGTTGAAATTTGGCCACAGCAGGAAAACTCATACCGTATCCCACTGTGGAAGCCAGTGTCATCAGGAGAAGTATCATGAGGAGTCCCAGGGCTGTACACCTGAGAAACTAGTTTTCCCTGCTTGGCTCGTCACCGCTCCTGCGGCTTCCGGTCGCCCAACCATTCTGTTGTCGTCGGGTCTTCAGGAAGAGAGGCACGTGCAGCAGGTGTTAGCAGTAGTTTATTTAAACTCTGATGAGGGCTGGAGAGACGGCTCAGTGGTTATGAGCACTTGTTGCTCTTCCAGAGGACCAGGGTTCAGTTCCCAGCACCCATGTAGGAGGCTCACAGCACCTGTAGCCCCAGTTCTAGGGGATCTAACGCCCTTTTCTGGCCTGTGAGGGCATCCTTCTCACACATGGCATGCATTCGTGTAGACACACACCTACATATAAAAACCAAAACCAAAACCAACCAACCAAAAAACCCGCAACAAACAAAAACAAAAAACAAACTTAAAAGAGAAAACTCCAATGAAAGTAATTTTATTATTATTTATTTATTTAAATTGAAATTTCTTTTTCTTTTTTTTAGACATGGTTTTGCTATGTAGCCCTGTCCTGCCTAAAACTTGCTATGTAGATCAGGATGGGGCTCAAACTTACAGAGGTCTGCCTGCTTCTGCCTCCTGAGTGCTAGAATTAAAGATGTGTGCCATCACACCAAGCCAGTAATTTTAGTTTAAAAAAAAACTCTGGAAGGATTTGGGATGCTAGGTCTGCAATAGACTCTTGCCTAGCATGCTAGAGACCCTGGCTTTCATCCCCAGTACTGTAAAACGTATGAACAAACCACAAAAAATGGGAAAAAAATCACTTCTAAGTATTATGAAAAGTCTTACTTTAAAAAATATTTTTACTTTGTTATTTTATGTATGTGGGTGTTTGCCTGCATGTATGTCTGTGTACCACATGCATGGGAGTGTCCTCGGAGGCCAGAAGAGGGCGCCAGGTCCCCTGGAACCAGAGTCACTGATGACTATGAACCACCATGTGGGTGCTGGGAATCAAACCAGGGCCTTCTAGAAGAGCAGCAAGTGCTCCTAGCCACTCTCACTCATCTCTCTAGCCCCAAAGTCTTGCTTTTATATAAATAAGAAGGCTGCCATTGTGTTAATTTGATTGAAAGGAGTAGTGATTCCTCTGTGTTACAGCGAGAAATAGATGTTGAAAAACAAGATCACACGTGACAACAGCAAAGACATACATTTCCACTCTATAGCCAGGCCCTCGTGGTGCTGTGCCGTCCATTTAACCCACTGCCTTTGGCATGGTAGGTTGTCTACCACAGAATACCGTCAGCTGGAAGAGTGTGGAAACAGGAAATTATTTCTCATTGTTGAGAAGCTGGGAAGTTCATGGTGAAAGTGCCGGCAAGTTTGGTGACTGGGAAGGCCTGCCTACTGCTTTCCGGACTGCCTGCCGGATTGTATGTTTTCTCCCACGGTGGAAGGGTGAATGAACTCCCTCGGTCCTCTTTCATAAGGACATATTGATCCCATTTGTGATGAGCTGTGGTTTGGATGTGGTTTGCTGGGAATCTGGTGCCCTCGTGTGACCATGTGGGAAGTGGTGGGGCTTGTAACGGTGGAACTGTCCAGGTCCTTAGGCATCGAGGATGCTTCCCTTGGGAGCGTCTCAGTTGTTCTCACCAGTTCGAAGGCTGAGCCGGACTGCCAAGTCTTTCCCTGCAGTAGGGTTTTTTGTTTGTTTTGTTTTTATTTTCTGAGATAGGATCCCTTGTATGCACACTGGTGGGGTGTGTGTGTGTGTGTGTCCGTGTGTGTCTAGGCTGAAGGTCAAAATCAGGAACACTCAGTGTTTTCCTCTCTTCCTTCACCTCCTCCTTCTCCTCTTTTATTTGAGACAGAGATGGGGGAGGGGATGAATGACTAGGTGGGCACCTGTGTGCCACAGTGTACATTGGGAGGACAGAGACGACTTCCCTCTGTGATATGGGCTCTGGGGATTGAACTCAGATCGTCAGAGTTGGCAGCAACCACCTTTACCCGCTGAGCCAGCTTGCTGGCCCTCCACTGTATTTTGGAGACAGTGTCTCTCACTGAATATGGAGCTCTCTGATTGGCTAGATTGGCCAGCCAGCAAGGTTCCACATGCCTCTGCTACCCCCCGTGCTGGAATTACAGGTACACACCCCCTACCTCGCTTTATATGTGGGTGGTAGGGTTCTGAACTCAGGGCCTTATGCTTCTGCAAGAAGTAGTTTACCAACTAAACTATCTCCTCAGTCCCAAGACAGGGTGGTATGTAGCATGGGCTGGCTTTGAACTCAGTATGTAGTTGAGGATAACCTTGAACTTGCTTTTGATTCTCCTGCCTCTCCCTGATGAGTGCTAGGATTATAGACTATTGTGCCTGGCTATGTATTGCTGGGCATCAAACTCTGGTCCTGAAGTGTGCTAAGCAAGCGCTCTTCTACCCACGCCACACCTCGCCTGCTGCTGTAGTGTTCCTAGTGCGAACAGTGCCGTTCATCTGCTTCTGGGATGACGCCGTTCATCATGGGGGAGGCAGCCAGCCCTGCCAGCACCAGAGCCAGCACCGTGCGGTTTTGATTTGCAGCCTTCAAAATTGAGCAAAATAGACCTCTTCTCTTTAAAACATCAGCCTGCCTCAGAATGTCATTGTAAGACAAAACCAGCTAAAAATGGACATTGTGGCATACGTCTGGAGTTCCTAGTATTTTAAAGGCACAGGCAGGAGGATCTGTGCCCGTTTAAGGAAGTTATATAGAAAGTTCTAGGCTGCCTGCTATATGAGACATTGTCTCAACAAACACAACACCACCAACAACAAAAGCCAAGCAAGACAGACTTCGAGCTGATTTTCCTGATGCTCTCACAGAACACAGACGTTCAGATATAGTTTGCACGGATTCTGTTGTTCCTCTCCCTCATGCTCTCTGTGTGTACGTACACACACACGTGTACATACAGGTGCATGGACATGTGTGTGGAGGGCACAGGTCAATGCTTGCCTTCCTCAGTCACTTTCTGTTTACTGTTCTTGCTGCCCGTGGGACCTGCGAGAATGGGGCCTAAAAATGAGGTGGACTGAAGTCTCACGCAGTAGCCAACTGTATTCAGAGCATCAGACAATTTACACTCCGAGGGTTAAAAAGTCACCTGAGCAAAGTGTACAGCCACAAGGACAAGCCACATGTGGCGAAAACATGTTTTTCTGTGGAAGCATGTAAACAAATAACAATAGCCAGTTGTAATGAGTACTCTGAAGTACTCACTCCTCTCCACCACACGTGGGAGGGGCACAGAAATGCATTCTGAGAACAAGTCCCTGTTTTTGAAGACTGAGGTCACAAGACTCTTGTCTTGTTTTCTTGGAGTGTTCACACAAGCATTCAGAATTCTCCTCGCACGAATTCATACATGGACCGTGTTCAACAACTTCCCTTTTTTTTTTTTTTTTTTTTGAGACAGGATCGCTCACTGAAGCTGGAGTTTGCCTGTTGGCTGGACTAGCAGGCCGGCAAGCCCCAGGGATCCCCCTGTTCCCACTTCCCCAGCAC